TTTTTTTAGACTTTCGTTTTCATCATCGAATACAAACATCAACTAGCATGGGTGGCAAGAAATCAAAAGTTGATCCAACAGTATTGACTTCAAAAGGTTCGTTTATTAGATATTTATGTTTTCTTATCTTTTGTTTTGTTTATTTAGAAATGGCTGTTCTCAAAGCGAATACTAATTTAAATGAGAGGGGTACGTGAAAGTCGTTGTACTTATAATATTTCTTGATTTCATGTTTTGTTTTTAATCTTATTTAGAAATCTTACAATGGCATGAAGCAAGTTGAATTCGTGATACTTTTTCTCGAAGATGTAAACGTTTTCTTTTGCTTTCTAGGGTTTTATACGTGATTGTCCAAATGGTCGACTTGATAAGAAAAAATTTCTTGAAGTTTATGAACAATTTTGTCCTGGAGGAAATGCAAAAAACTATTGCAAGTAAGAAATTATTTCATTCTTAATTATTTATATAATTTATACATATTTAGATATGCATTTGATGCATTTGATAAGAATGATGATGGAACAATCGATTTTAGTGAATTTCTTTTAAGTTTTGTAGCTACAAAAGGTGGTGATGTCGATGAAAGGCTTTCAGCTGCATTTGATTTGTAAGTTTCTGACTTTCTTTAAAAATTTTATCGATGAGATTCCGGTTTCATCACAGATACGATATTTCGGATGACGAACAAGTTGACCAGAAGGAATTAGTGAAAATGATTACAGCTATAGTAAATTTTTTTCATCGTATTTTTCATTTTATTTAAGTAGAAGCAATCGTTTTTTTAGTATGAACTTAATGGCGTAGCTGATCATGGTGGTCATAATAATCCGAAAACACGTGCTGCTGAGATTATTGCTTCACTTGATGTTAATGGAGACAGAAAATTGAGTAAACACGAATTTATTGCTGGGTATGTTTAGTGATATGATTTCTACTTTAATTTGTCATGTGTCCTCTTTGATTAGATGCAAGAACGATCCATATATCCGTCAAATACTTGCTCCTAATGCTTAAACAAGCATCTACAAAAGAACAATAATTTTTATTTTTGAATTTTATTGGTAGAGAAAATATTAAGATGTGTGAATTGTAAAATAAAAACATTTTATGGAAAACCAGCGAATAGGAATGGTAAAACAAAAAAGATACAAAATGATATCATTATTATACGGTACTTTCACTACCAGTCTACGATAAACAACATATAGTATTCAGAAAACTTTACATTCCATCAAACTTTGGAGAACTTTTTTTGCTGATCATTTTGGTGAAAAAACATGTTGGGTTTCAATTCGAAATGATGGTTTTGTAGTCAAAAAATAGTACATATTGTGAACTAACTTAAAAGTCGCTTTTTTTGATGAAAAATTACAAAATAAGCATAGAGATATTCTGTCGATTAGTAAGAAAAAGATATAGATAGAATATTGTTCATAGTATCCAACCATATTTTACCATGTTTGTTTCGTGGTTTTTTATCAGAGACAAAGAGAATTTTAAATTGTTTCACAATATTTACTATTTTTTGACTAGAAGACCATCATTCCACATTGAAATCCAAAAACTTTTCTTATCAAAATGACCAACGTAAAAAGCTCTACAAAATTTGATATAATATAAAGTTTTCTGAATACTTATTGTTTTTTGTTGTACACTGCTAATGAATGTATCGCAGAACAACAATGCCATTCTGTATCTTTTTTTATCGTTTCTTTGTCTAAGTGCTAAAGTTTTTTTTTTTTTTTATATGATACTTGATAATCAACGATTTTTCGAATGAAGTATGTGTAAATATTTAGTACTCAACTTCTACTAATCAATTTAATATTACAGTTGTATAGTTATAATACGTGAGTTAAAACGAAAAAGTAGTACAAGACATTTCACGACAACTTGGTATAGTGAAATATTTCTGTGTGATAGTCATCAATAACTTGATTATCATTCGAATGAAAATAGCAAAATAAATACATACAAAAACGCACGGTTTTCTTATGGTATTCATGTAAAAGGAAAGGTAACGAAAAACAAATAAAAAAAAAGATATTTGTCCTTTTCTCTGTCGTATAATTGATGTTATCTTTAGATTTGAAGCAATGAAAACAAATATTAAGTTTTTTTCTTTTTAATAACTAATTTTCTTAGTTTTGTTCAAAAATTTTCAACATTAAAAAGTAAATTGTATTTGAATTCATTTCTGACACATGAGATGGAAACGAAATGTTTTATTCAATGCTACGATTAGTAAATCTACGTCGATAATTCGTGTGACATTTTCGATGACGCTCTATCCTTCTCATTACAAGCATTAAAAAAAAATATTTTTCGAGCTTGTTTTTTGTTTGTATGTTTTATCACTATACATTGATCAATAAATGCTAATTGATATTTATTACCATGTGACACACTATAAAAGGAGACTTGGGTCAGTGTATAATATTTCTTTTCTGAATTTTCAGTTTCAACGTTGAATACAAACATCAGTTGAGATGGGTGGTAAAAAATCAAAAGTTGATCCAACAGTATTGACTGAAAAAGGTTCATTTACTAGATATTTATGTTTTCTCATCTTTTGCTTTGTTTATTTAGAAATGGCTGTTCTCAAAGCAAATACTAATTTAAGTGAGAGTGGTAAGTGAAATTTGTAATAATCATAATATTTCTTGATTTCATGTTTTGTCTTTAATATTATTTAGAAATATTAGAATTCCATGAAGAAAGTTGAACCAATAGTATTTTTTCTTTAAGATGTAAAAGTTCTTTTTCTTTGTAGGAATTTATACGCGATTGTCCAAATGGTCGACTTGATAAGAAAAAATTTCTTCAACTTTATGAACGGTGTTTTCCTGAAGGAAATGCAAAAAACTATTGCAAGTAAGAAATTATTTCATTCTTAATTATTTATATAATTTATACATATTTAGATATGCATTTGATGCATTTGATCAAAATGATGATGGAACAATTGATTTTACTGAATTTCTTTTCAGTATCGCAATTACAAGCGGAGGTGACCTCGATACACGACTTACAGCTGCATTTGATTTGTAAGTTTCTATTTTTTTTTCTTTTATATTTTATTACAGACGTGTTTGTTTTATATAGATACGATATTTCGAATGATGAACAAGTCGACCAGAAGGAATTAGTTAAAATGATTACAGCTTTGGTAATTTTTTTTTCATTATATGTTTGCTTGTGTCTTGGTAGGAATAATCTTTTTTTAGTATCAACTTCATGGTAAAGCTATTGATGGTGCTCATGATAATCCGAAAACACGTGCTGCTGAAATTCTTGCTGCACTTGATATCAATAACGACAGAAAACTGAGTAAACATGAATTTATTGCTGGGTATGTTTTTTAATATGTTTTATAATTTGATTTCTCATGTGTTCTTTTTGATTAGATGCAAGAACGATCCGTATATCCGTGCAATACTGGCTCCTGATGCTTAAACAAGCAACTAAAACACTACAATATTTTTTTGCATTTGACAAATAGATAGAATATTAAGCTATATCACCTGTAAAATGAAAACATTTTAGTTAGAGTCAATGAGTAGGATATTTTAAAATAAACGATCTTCGCAGACAACTTTTTTTCTTATAGATTAATCTATAAATCGCAATTGTAGTGATTGTGAAAAAAATTTTACTAATAAAAGTCAATAAATAATTTAGTTCAATATTTGAATGGTTTCTCAAATTAATTCAGAGAAGCAGTGAAGTGGAGTTCATGGCAATTTGCGCAGGCAATAACAAATGAAGTTTTTCTGCTATTAGTGGAATACATTTTCATCATTTCGAAAAGTCTAGCTATGACCAATCATGTTCAGAAAAACTTTCATAATTTATTATTCAAACGACAAACTATATATACGATGGAACAAAGTAGACTCTAAAGTATGGGCGAAATCATTTGTTACGGATTTTGTGTTGCAAAATGAAATCACACATATCTCGAGATAAAGAATTCATATAGGCTTCTTTTTTATGTTCCATACATATGAAATTATTCTAGACATTTTGAAAAACCAGCACTAGAAATCTTGCTTTAGAGCAATTATCAATATAAATCTAGCGACATTCACATCCACACTGTTTTATTTCTAAAAGTATTTATCTGATGGTACAGGTATAGCATTTTTACAGTAAAAAACTATAACATAGTGTGCTGTACACCGAGTATAACCCATAATGAACTAAATATGGAACAAAACGCGCTGAAAACAGTTGTTGTGAGAAATCGAGCGCCACTTGTCTTTTAAATTAGTTTAATTAGATGATTGATTAATAGCACTTGAGTATTAAATATTTACACGTACTTAATTCAAAAAATTCTTTTTTTACATTATATTTGATAATCAAGAAATTTTCGAATTAAGTACGTGTAAATATTTAGTACTCGACCTCTACCACACAGCAATGTAATCAAGTTATTTTAAACTTGTATAATTGTAATACATGACGTAAAACAAAAAAGTAGTGCGAAACTTTTCACAACAGTTTGGTATAGTGAAGTATTTCTGTGTGATATTCATTCATAAAAAAAACTGATTGTCATTCGAACGAAAATAGCAAAATAAATACATACAAAAAACCCACGATTTTCTTTTGGTATTCAATTACAGTAAACGGAAAACGAAAACATTTGTCGTTTTTTTTGCTCTTTTTTAAGACCTTATTTCCTTAATTTTTCTGAAAATTTATGGACATTAAAAAATATCGCGTAGTTGAAGTCATGTTTAAGACATAAGATACGAAGTAGAATGTTTTAATCAACGAAACGATTAGTAAATCTATGTACATGATTAATGTGACATTTTTAATTATTCTCTGTGTCCTTCTCATTAAAAATATAAAAAAATATTTTCTCGAACCTGGTTTTTTTTTTATATGCTTTATCACCACACATTTATCAATCAATTATAATTAATGTTTATTACCATAAGATACATTATAAAAACAGACTCGGGACGGTATATGACATTCCTTTTCTTTTGAAGTTTCGTTTTCACCATCGAATACAAACATCAACTAGCATGAGCAACAACAAATCAAAAGTTGATTCAGTAGAATTGACTCCAAAACGTTTGTTTATTAGATAATTGTATTTTTTCATCTTTTGTTTTTTTTTCTCTGTTCAGAAGTAGCAATTCTCAAAGCGAAGACTAATTTAGCTGACAGTGGTAAGTGAAATTTTGTAATAATCATAATATTTCTTCATTCATTTTTTTTTGTTTTTTATCTTATTTAGAGATATCAAAATGGCATGAAGAAAGTTGAATCCGTAGTACTTTTTCTTGAAGATTTGAATTTTTTTTTCTTTATAGAGTTTTGTACATGATTGTCCAAATGGTCAAGTTGATAAGAAAAAATTTGTTGAAGCTTGTGAACGCTTTGCTCCTGGCAAAAATGCAGATAACCTTTGGAAGTAAGAAATTATTTGATTATTAATTATGTTTGTAATCTTTGCTGAATTAGACGTGCATTGGATGCATTTCAAAAGACTAATCATGGAACAATTGTTTTTAAAGAACTTGTTGGAAGCATTGCAACTACAAAAGAAGTTGATATCGATCAACGACTTTCAGGTCTATTTGATATGTAAGTTTCTGTTTTTTTCTTGTTAATTTTTACTCAAAAGATTTTTGTTTTATATAGATACGATACTTCGGAAGATGGACAAATCGATCAAAACGAATTAATAGGACTGATTACAGCTCTAGTAATTCTTTTCATGATACTATTGTATTTAATTCAGGAATTAGAAACTATTATATTTTTTTTAGTATAAACTCAGTGGCACAACTGATCAAAGTAGTAATAATAATCCGAAAACACGCGCTGATGAAATTATTGCTACATATGACATTAATAACAACAGAAAATTGAGTAGACAAGAATTTATTACAGCGTATGTTTTGTAACAGTTCATAATTGCATTTGTCATGTGTTCTTTTTCTTTAGATGCAAAAAAGATCCGTATATCCATCAAGTACTTTCTCATCATACTTAAACAAGCAACTACAACAAAACAATAATTTTTTTTTGTATTTTACAAATAGTTAGAATATTAAGGCATATGAATTGTGAAATCAAAACATTTTAGTGAGAGCCAATGAATAGGATATTTTAAAATAAACGATCGTAGTAGACAACCTTTTTTTTTTCTTCTTATTGATGAATCTCTGAATTGCGATTGTGGTGATGATGAAAAATGTCTTTGACTAGAAAAAGTCAACGAATGATTCACAACATGTATGATGATCGTAAATACTTACAGCGATATTTTATATGTCGTGATTCTTTTTTCTATTTACTGATATTTGATATGTGTATGGTTTCTCAACTTAATGCAGAGAAGCAGTAAAGTGGAGTTCGTGTCAAACTTGACCGAAAATAACAACTGAAGTTTTTTTTATTATTATTGAAATCAATTTTCATTATTTAGAAAATTCTTATTATAATAAACGATGGCAATAAAAACTTTCGTATTTTATTATTCAAACTATAAAGTACAGATACGAGAGAAAAGACAGACTTCAACATATAAGCGAAATCATTCGTTATAGAGGCTTGACGTCACAAAATTAAAATATCTATATCTCGGCATAATGAATAGTCTAAGAATTAATTTGTATATTTTATATGAATGTTAATTTTACTATAGAAGCGCTAATGAAATCAGTACTAGAGACCTTTGTTCAGAAGAATTATTAGTAAAAACACTAGCGACCTCCACTCCTACGGGAAAAGGAAAGCGACTTTTGCTTCATGTATTTTAATTTGAAAAATTCCGGATCGCGAATCAAAACTAAATAGTACATTCTATAGACTGTACCTGAAGCTATGAAATCCATATTTAAAATTTTTTCTGAGCATGCTTAGATTTTTCGAATAAAAGTGGGTTTAGTGTTTTGTTAGGAACGTGACAGAATGTGATGATACAAACGAAAAAATGCTCGTAGAATCGAATGAGAAGTTCAAAAATGATTTGAAGCAGTAAAAATTCTTCTTCAGAATCTATAGATGATGATAAAGCAAAAAAAAATTGTTTTGAATCTCTAGAAAATCGACGTTTAAAACGTTGTTTGAAATTCGGTCTTAGTAAAAATGTCACCATAGGTGTGATTCGTGCTGCAGAGTTTATCCTCAATTATTCTAATGTAAATCGATAGATATATGGATGATAGGTAAGACAATCTTTGGTATATATTCAATAAATACTATTATTACAATAAGTATTTTTTCTATTATGCTGAATTATTTCACTTTCATTCCATGTTGAACAGTTATAATGAATTTCATTAAGATTTTATTATGGGTGCCTGAATAACAAATGCATTTGGAATCGAACTTTTTTTTTTTTTGAGTAAAAAATAATAAAACGTCAGCGGAAAAAACGCAAATTTTTTCAAGATCGGACTGTTTCACCGTTGCTGAAAACTTCAACTGTTTTACTGATTTGTTTTCTTTTTGGTTATTGGTTGGAACATATCATATAAAACAGTAGAAAAGATTTTGCTTCTCTACTGCCTTTCATAAATACATTATAGAACAACCTTTTCTTTTGGCAACATGATCTATTTTTACTAACATTTACTTAACACATTACTCTTTGCTTTGACAAGAAAAAGATTTTGATTGGCTGCATTTGCCTTTATTTGCCATTGTATATAATAGAAACTATTGTGTTCGTTTATTAATGAGATCGCACCTTGAAATCAAAGTCTTTAAAAAACAATTCTTAGATTATTTTTTTTTTCTTGGCCTCGGTATTCGAAAGAAAAAGAAAATGTCATTAAACAAAAAATACCGCATATATAGCATATTCTTATCAGAAGCCATGAAAATGGGCGAGGGCTGTAGACCCTTCTAAAATTGACAATTATTCATTATTACTAAGTCAAAGTACCCATCATATTTTGAATTTTTTACTATCTTTATGAGATATTTTCTTATCAACCCCTCCTCCAAACTTGAGACCCTTGCACAATCTCTCCTTATTATTCAGAATATGAATACCAAAAAGAGAGAGAGAACGAAGTAAATATGAAGATTTTTTTTTTTTATTTCATGTTATATTAAAAGTAGTAAAAGAAAAAATAAATTCTGTTCTATTTTTTTTTTGCTTTTACTTTCTATGGCATATCCTATTTCTTCTGTTACATATTGACAGATTTTTTTTTTGTTGAGTTCTATCGATGGAGCTGATTCACGATTATACAGACTACTTCAATAGCATACATATTCACTCAAATTTATCGTTTACTTAGTATCCGAATTACTAATTTTTGTCGTTCCTTGCCCCTTTTTTTTAATATATACACATAAAGAAAAAAAAATTCTATAGCTTTTTCTCTTTCTCTTAGTCGTATAAATACCATTAACACAGCTGTCAGTATACCTGATTCGAGCTACATACACTCATCAAGCAAAAGTACATACAACATTTCTTTCAAATCGTTGATAAACTACAGTCATCATGGGTAATAAAGGAGGAAAAAAAAGTGGATCAACACAATTAACACCAAAACGTTTGTATCCTTGTGTTTTTTTTTTGAGAAATAATTTATTTGAAAATAATTTTTTTTTTTTTTTTGAAAATTTTAGAAATTGCTATGCTCAAGGCAAATACTAATTATACGGAAAGAGGTAAATAAAGGCAGCTGTTTTTTATATTTCTATTTTGATTTTTTTTTATCTAATTTTTTTTATTACTATTTATAGAAATCCGAGAATGGCATGCGGTTAGTTAAATAGACATAATGTTAATGAAAATATTTTCATTATTTATAGGGCTTTCTTCGTGATTGTCCTAATGGTCGACTTGATAAAAAGAAATTTTGCGAAGTCTACAAACAATTTTATCCTCATGGCAAAGCAGAAAACTTCTGCAAGTAAGATAATAGGATTTTTTTTTCTTTTGTTTGGTTAAATTTGAACTGTTTTCTTGATGTTTAGACTTGCATTTGATACATTCGATACAAATGATGATGGAACAATTGACTTCGATGAATTTCTTTTAGCTATTTCGGCTACAAGTCATGGTAATCTCGATGATCGACTTGCAGTTGCATTTGATATGTAAGTTTTGTTTTTCTTTTTGTTATTTATATCATTCTTACATGATTGTCTTGGTAAATAGGTACGATATATCAGATGACGGATTTATTGATCAAAAGGAATTGACTAAGATGATTACAGCTATGGTAAAGTTTTAGCTATATATTTATTTTTTTTTTTATAAAAGTAAGTTTTTTTTTCAGTATGATCTTGTTGGTGAAACTAATCGTAAAGGTGACAATGATCCGAAAAAACGTGCGATTGAAATTATTGGAAAACTTGATGTTGGTGGTGATAAAAAATTAAATAAACATGAATTTATTGCTGGGTATGTATTACTACATTAGCTATCTTCATTCACATATATATATTATTATTTTTTCTTTATATATTAGGTGTAAAAATGATCCATATATTCGCCGATTACTTGCTCCTAATGCATAAGTGTTCGGTACATTATTTCAACAATTATTCAATTAGACATTTTATATTTTAAACACATCAAATACTAGATTTTATTATAACATCACTAGACAATGAATGAATGAATGAGTTTAATTATCGAAAAATAACTTGTATTCGAATTAAACTTTTTTCAATAAAATAAAGTATACTAAGAACATTGATGATTGTGTTTAAAGAGTTTGCAGTGTTGTAGTTTCACTTCTTCAAGTACTCTTGTAATATTAGCCAATAGAACGATCACTAAATGTTTCTCTTCATATTCAATTTATGTTAAAAGGCTGTTAGCACAACACCTGCAGGAATCAAGTGTGAAACACAATGTAACTTCTCTTGTTAATCAAAGGCAGATTGTTTTATTTTATCTATTTTGAGAACATATTTCTTCACTATCCTTTAACTTAATCGTCTAGAAATGGAATAAGGAAATAGTTCCTATATTTTAATGAGATGCTATTTATATATACGACCTATAATCATATATCAACAATGTCTGTCATGAACTGTGATAAAGAACAGACGCTGCTCGAGTTGCTAAGCAAGTCTATTATAGGTAAGATTTGACGTTGTTAGTGCCCTGCAAGAACGATTTTTTCCCGTTCTATTTACCGTTAGAAATCAGGAACGGGAACGATATTTACAAATGAGCATTCCAGAAAATCGTTCTTTTTAATATGTATACTCTTCAAACTTTGCTTTTTTTCTTACAAACAATGTCAACGTCATTTCGATGTCACATTGTTGAAGAATGGATTTTGACATTCTTCCAAAGACTTTTGCTTCTTTTATGAATTAAAAGAAAAATAACAAATATTTATCAACAAAAATTAGACAAGTTCATTCCATATTCATCACTCTTTTATTTTCTTCATGATTATTATCTTCGAAACGACTATTTTTTAGATTGTCGATGTGCTAGTATTTTTTTTTTTCGTCCAATTATTCCATTGATGAAGAAAATGATTCTCTTAACTTAACATTGATAAATTTGAACGTATGAACAATAATTGCTTTATTTTAATAAAATAAAATCGTAATAAGAATTCTGAAAGCATTATAGAAACGAAAATCCAGTAAGAATCGTTCCCATAAAACACTAATTGTTGCTAAAGTGTCTGTAATGTGCTGCTTCTAATCTATCTGTGACCATCTGTCATATTCTGTCAAGGAGAGAAGAAGGTTGCAAATTTACCTAAACATACTTTTCAGATTATATTTAATAAAAAACATATTACATAGCTATACGTAGAATGCTGCTTTATTGAAAAAACTAAAACAAAATTTTGAGTGTATAATATCACTTCTGATATCTTTTCACTATTAATAATCATATTGTTACACGAATATCATAGAAATATTTTGTTGTTGATATTTTAAGCTTTTTACAGCTTGTTTAAAA